GAGGAAGAGAGGACCACCTTGAGTTTCCTCAAGGGTAACGGCAGGACGAGACTCGGAGGAGACGGCCACTGGAAAGAGGATTGAAGATGCATTTGGCGCAGTCTTGTACAGGGTCGGATAGGTGGGGTTTTGGGGCACGGATTGAGGATGATGACCCCGGTGGAGGAATTTGAGATCTTGTGAATGTTTGGCCAAGACCAAGATCGCCAACATTCGGTATAGCATTGTTCGGGTTGTAGAGGATTGGATGGGGAAGCGTCGTGCTCTAGAAGGCTGAATTATCACTTTACTTTCCGATCTCACAGTCTCCGTATCCTGAGTTGGAGTATTCCTGGTTGACATCCACTCCCTCGCTTGCTTCGCCGATATGCCGAGAGGTGTCCTGGGAGGAGACCCAAGCCTTGCTTTTGGCCGACGTAGCTCTAATCCGTAGCGTAGATGGTGGGTTTTGTGATATCGCTGTCTGCAAATTGCCATGTGCTCCGAGGTCCACGTCCACCGCGAAACACATTTTGCCCATCATAGCGCGGAGAGTGGTATGTTCACTTTTGTACCGAGCGACGTCCAGATATTCTGAGCGCAAAACTCATGTCCTGTACTGGCGGTCTTTCAGCCATTATCGCCCTTCTTTCCTTTCCGCATCAGCGCCTTCAGCTTCTCCTCCTCTTCACTCGTTGCGTTGTCGCCGCTCGTCTTGTCTGTGGATGGCTTGCTCTTCTGAGACCCGCCCAGTACTTCTCGCCCCAGCTCAGCCACGACGCCTCCACCAGTACCTTCTACCCTCTCCGCTTTGCCATGTCGTCGGCGATGCTCAGCCAATAAGCTCAAACCTTCGCCTCCAGTGTCTGCATCTCGGTGTCGCTGGGCATTGGCTTTTGCTGCCCGGATGCTCGTCCTGGCGTACACGAAGAGTAGACATGCCATTGTGAAAGCTGCTGCTGGAGCTACGATGGTCCTGCTGTTGATGCGTCGTGGAAATGGATTACGCGGAGTCGGTGGCGCACCAGGTTTCGCTGGCACAGAGGCCTCTGTCGTGCCGTCTGGGCCACGAGGCTGAGAGAATCTGGCACCCATGATACCGCACCGATGGAGTGGAGTGTGACAATTAGAATCCGGATGCTAGAAGCGGGTGAGAGTGTCGGCTCGTATCGAGGTCATCGAGATGGGTCGTGCGGGTGTAACCATACACCTGTTCCGTGAAGCATCATACAGCAATTTCTTCAAGTCCGATAGCTCCTCTATTCGACATATCTGTTGTTGCTGGTCCGGACAAAGTTGAAAATGGTCTTTGGACCAATCCATAGACAGCAATACACGGCCGGTGTTGATCTTGCCGTGAACCCGAGACCGAGAAACTGATGTCATGACTTGGGATAGTCTGGACCGAGCATACACTTAGCACGAAGCCCGTCCTGCATTATTCTTTCCTTTGTGTTTGAATGAATGGTATAGAAATAGATCGAGGTGTAGATCTGATGAGGTGGTGAGCTCGATGGCTGCCAGCACGGCCACTGGTCTTGCGATCACGAATCCCTTGGTCAAGTACAGGGCATTGCTTGCGACTCGTGCCATTGCTCCTGATCCAGTATGCGCGAGATACGGGCCTCCCCTGCAGGATGATATGCTGACACAGTAGCAGGCCCAACATCGATTAGCAATCCATTTGGCAAAACTTTACGATCGTCTCAAGGACTACGAGCCAGAATTGGAATACAGTCACAAACTTGATCAGATTTCTCGAGCAGTAAACGCACAGCGTCGATATGGATCAGGCTCAGAAGATGACATTGCGCCGAGAAGAAGCATTTGGCGCGAGTTCTTCGCAGCCAAGGAGAGAAGAGACTCGTTGGCACTTACTCGAAAGCTGACATCTCATGAGTCGGCACTCCAGATGGACTCACCCAAAGGCCTCATGCTCCACGGAGAAGTTGGAACTGGAAAGTCGATGCTGATTGATCTGTTCGCGGACTGTCTGCCAAACAGGAAAAAGCGGCGCAGTCATTTCAACACCTTCATGCTGGAGACTTTTGCCAAGCTGGAAGCCTTACGTTCTGATCGCATGAGAATGGAAAGATCCAGTCTTTATTCTCAGCTGAGTTTTGCGGAGGACGATTATTCGTTGCTCTGGTTAGCAAAGGAAATGATACAAACATCACCCATATTGTTCTTGGATGAATTTCAAATGCCAGATAGAGCGGCAAGCAAGATTTTGACAAATCTGATGACCAGTTTCTTTCAACTTGGAGGGGTCCTGGTGGCGACGAGTAATCGCATGCCTGAGGAATTGGCCAAGGCCGCCGGTATTAGCTATGCGCCGCCCGCTGAGCAGAGGAGTTTTGGGTGGCAGTTTGGACTCGGAAGGCGACGACAGCCGTCTGGCAGATATGGAAGCTACAACGAATTCGCGGCATTCTTGGACGTGCTGAAGGCTAGGTGCGAAGTGTGGGAAGTTGAAGGCTCGAGAGATTTCAGGCGACTGGAAAGTGGCAGTGTCGCCCCCGTGAAGGACATCGACTCGCTGATAGAGGATGCCCCGGGCTCTGGAGATGGCTCTGCCGATACTCTGTTGACTCCCGCTGTTGAGAATATCGATTCCGCCGAGAAGCCTGAAGTCCAGCTACCCAAACACTTTAATGTGGCAGCAGAAGGTGCTACAACATTGACCGATGCTGCTATCGGCGAAGCGCTCGGCGGGAAATCTGTTGCCGCTTGGGCGCCAGCCACAATGATCGTATATGGCAGAAAAGTAAGGGTTTCCAGGTCGCACGAGGGTGTTACTATGTGGACCTTCGACGAACTTTGTAAAGGAACGTACGGCCCCGCTGACTACATCTCCTTGGCTTCGACCTACCACACCCTAGTACTGACAGATGTGCCCGTACTCAACTGGCTCATGAAAAACGAGGCGCGTCGCTTCATCACACTTCTTGATGCACTGTACGAATGCCGATGCAAGCTGTTCGTCTCAGCAGCAGCAGGGCCCGACGACATCTTCTTCCCCGAGGAGAAGAAGCGAGCGGAGGAAGGTGACAGTGGAGACTCAGTCTACTCTGAAACACTCTCTGAAGTCTACCAGGATGCAACTGCACCTTTCAGGCCGAATGTGTTGACGCAGAATCCCAACTACAGCGAGCCGGAAAACGAGCCGGACTATACGCATGCTCGGCTTGCCGGAATCCTTCAGGCCGATGCGAAAAGTGATGCACTTGAAGACGGCACGCCGATTTCAAGAGGTGCGGTCGGCGGTTCGTCAAGCAGCCCATTCGGTCGGTCGTTCGGCAGAACCGATGCGGAGCTCGAACGGAAGCCGATCGATCCCGACGAGGTGCGGTACTCGGCTCGACCGAACTTTCAGAAGACATCAGCTTTCACTGGAGAGGATGAGCGCTTTGCATACAAACGTGCCCAGAGCAGATTGTGGGAAATGTGTTCCGCCCGTTGGTGGCAGAGGGATGAACCGGGTTGGCATCGTCCGACCCCCAAGGAGGTTCGCCGCTGGGAGGATCCAGAAATCGACCCTGCAGCTGGTGCAGAAACGTTCACCGGTACTACGGAAATTCGCATGGGAGCTTCCACAGAAGATACCACGCGACCACCGGAAAGCTTCAAAAGATATGATGGCGGACCGTTCAAGCCGAAACTTGAGCCCGCGCGCAAAATTAGCTGGACGCATGCTTGGGGCCTTGGAGAGTGGGGGAAAAGAGCTGGAGCATGGGGTAAGGGTGTCGATGGATTGAAAGACCGCGGAAGTGAGAAGTGATAGATGCATTCATGCAGGTAATTCACCGCCACCCTATGCAGTAGCCTGAAAGAGGAATTGCAAATTTGAGTTCGATGCAAGCGTGACAACGAGGAGGAATACTTCCGTTTGGTGCACCCGAGTATGTCTCAAGTCTGCCGAAGAGCAGTATGGAAAGTAAGTGCTGATCGTCGGATCACATATGCCTTAGTATCAAGTGAGTTCACTTGCAAGTTATGCTTAGCAGGCATGAACTGTGTGAGAACCTCACGCAACAACGGACCTCGCCTTTCCTCCCTGAACGAGCGAACTTGCTCAACTCGGCAAAATCGCGCTACTGGAGCACTCGTCTGCATTGTGATAAGGCATTGGCGCTAGAGCTCTGCGGAGGTAGGCCCGAATGTGGAGGCTCGCTTCCTGCATCGATTGGACCGCCACACGACGGAGAGCTTCCTTCGTGTTGATCGTATTGATAATGCAACTAGCTCAAATTGTGACCCAGAATAGGTGCCGGAGATAGTTCCAAATGATATGCTTGCAAAGAATGGAGACCCTTCCTTTGCAGAGATATGGAAGCGAAAGTATTTGCCAAGGCTGCGAAATGAGGGTCAAACATGGTTCTGCTCTTCAGTGGTTCTGCTTCTCCGCGCGAGGGAACCCGGAAGTTGACCATTCCCCTGACCAACGACACGTCTTCAGGTCTCAGATATCCTGCAGTTCCACTTTGAGCCCCATCACGAATACATGCTCCACAAGTACAGATGCTGATATGTACGGGATTGTTCCAGTCCCGCTGATGCCTCAAACTCCAATGGATGCACTTCGTTGACCATTAAATGTTGAGCGAACACATCACTCTTTCGCTGGTGCTCGTAATGCCCAACTCGCGTGCCCAAGATACCATTCGCTGGTCTTGGCAGTTTGCGGAGTGCCGACTTGAATCTGGACAGACCCCTGCATTCGATGGGACATCTGTTGAGACGGGCTTGTGCGCTGATCTGCAGAAGGATGGTGGATTCTTCTGTTGAGCTTCGGTGCACTTTTGCTTGACGACAGTGTAGTGCCCACAAGCAGTCCAAGTAATGAGATTGAGGTAGCACATTTTTCTGTGGCTGTATCAGTCGTGAGACAATGCTCTTGAGTCTGCAGAGGTCCGATAGCATACTGTATTAACGCTTGAAGTTGCGCTCTCGAGATATGTCACCTGATAATGAGTCTAACAAAACATACACTGCTTGCTCTCGCATGAAAAGAGAGGTGCCATCGCTGAGCTAATATACTTGCTCGATCTGTCAGCTCTGGTCGACCGAAAATGGTATTACCGAGTTGATTGTGTCGATTGCAACCAGGTGTCGGAAATGCGCGTTTTCACACTCAGTCTTGGTCAAAGCTCCCCCGGTCCTGCAGACGTGGGATGCTGCACTGCAAGGCCATGCGCGTTACACCATGTAGACATCCGTATGGAGCTATGCGGGCCGGGCCCCAGTCCGAGGGGTTCTGCTGCACAACATCGAGGTATGCTGAGTTTACAGACTGCTGGGGCTTGGTCTGAATCGATTCACCCAGTGTCCTTGCTGCTTTTCTTTTCTTCTTTGCCTCGTTTGAGCCGACCTAACGATCGAGAGTGATGGATTGCTGAAATTCAATTGTTCAATTGGCGATCTGCACGGGATACGCGGGAAGACGGCTGCATCACTCGTGGGAGGCTGTCGCTGGACGTACATCAACTGGAGGAGCCGATGCCGGATCTAGTTAGAGTTGGATAGCACTCGTCCTGTAGCACATGGCTTCAATCGAAAGGTCTAGACCTTCTAGCCGAGAAGGCGTACTTCGAATACTGGCGCTTCTGGCTTGACGAGCAAGGCACGGTTGTAGTTCGACGGCGTCCATCGTCACTGCTCAGCATCGACATTCAAATACTCTTCGTGCTGAGCGAAACATGTCGTATTCGTCTCGGTTGCGGTGAGGATGACGCGGCGTGGGCGCGCGCAGCGGTACAGATGTGTTTTCAAGCCAAAACCGTCAATAGCCGTGATACCGGTTGCCTAGGAAAGCGGAATGGCAGCAATTTCGGTGAATCCGCTGACCTTGAAGTCATGAGTTGCTGTACTGTTGACCCTGTGGAAAACCGAGTCAGTGACTGTGTCGCAATCCAGTTTGGCCTAATGCCAATAAGATATCGCTCACTGACTCTCAGTGTCAAGCCGAACCGCAATCTCGACACATGCGCGGAAGCCTTTCATTGCTTGCCTCTCTCACACGATATCGAGTGACGTTCTCAGCGCCATGCCATGAGGTCAAATCTCAAAGCATCTGTGTTGTCTGGAAATGCGGGCGTTAGTCCAATCATCGTCCTATCGAATGCAACGAAACCAACGATCAACGAAAGCACTCGAGCTTCGACTATGTGTTGGAAATCTGTTGCATTGCTATGCTGCTGGAATGCAGCTTAGTTAGCGCAGTCGTGTTCAAACGCGGAAGCCAAGAGCTGGAATGTGGTCTGTGTTCGAAAATTGTCGAACATAGCCAGCGCGGAGGACAATGTCGTGATCAACGCAGATGCCCATGCTAAGGTGATAGAAAGAGCGATGCTTGCAAAAGGCGCTTGATTGTTTCATGGTACGGAAGATTGCAGCGCAGGCCCAATTAGTTTGCGAGTGACAGAACAGGCCGGAACACTCAGCGGTATGTCATAGACATGATCTAAGACTGCAAGGGTTCGCAACCATCGCAGCACTCTTGCAGAGATGCTATTGAGGGCATAGGAGTTGCAGGGACGCCGTAAGATTGTGAAGATGATGTAGGTGCGTTGGCTGGAAGGTATTGTTGCATACTCATGCGATGCTCATGAGCATTGAAGGCGCACAGGATCGAATGAGCACGTTCCCCTTGAGCCAGAGGGACAATTGATCGAATTGGCCCGCTCCAATTTGTCTTGCGTTGACGTCGCGGGAAAATGTCAAGCCACAGCGGCTGTCCTTTTGCAGAGGTCGGATACTGATTGCCATACTGGCTTGTGCAGAAAAGACGTTGAAGGCTGCAGCAGTTCGAAGTGAGCCTGCAGAGTGTGTTGCACACAGTAGTCAAACATGTGTTGGTCTTTGCTTGATTCAGGTCATGTCGCAACGGCAGCATTTCGTGCTCGATTCCGGTGTCTCCAACCAGCCGGGCGTATATTTGTGTCTGATGAAAGACAATCGCTTGTCTCAAAGCAGATCCAACGCCCTGAAGGTTATACAAGCAAGCGCATCAATGTTTGCATCCATCAGTATAAAGGCCGTCTCTTCCCAGAAGCGATCTTCCTGCCAGAACAGACATCACCCGATACGTTCGAAACGGAAGCCATGCGCGCAAGATCGGAATCGACGTTGGCGCCCTTGAACTCCACAATTCTAACGCTGCTGATCACCACGAGCCACAATACAGTACTTGTCGTGCATAGTCCGCAGGACGCGACTGATATCAGAAAGGCAGCAAACTTTTGGCTTCCGTCGACGATTGTCGCTGTACCAGCGATGGAGGAGGAACTCAGGCAACGTGTAGCTGGACTGGTCGTGGCATGGACCGGTCTTAGTGATGACCAGTTCACGGTGTGTCAAGAGCCTGTGATGCGTGGCTTGCTGCCTTATCCTCTTCCACCTCTAAATTCGCAGACGGACGACCAGAAGCTTCTCAGCACAATTTTCTTTCGAGTGGACCTTCAAATGCCCATTCATCGCATCAGCGACTTGCGTCCGGCAGCAGAGCTGCTTGCCAATGAGCGCGACGACGACGATGGTATTGAGTTCGAGCTGCACAGGCTTACGAAAAGGGAGGCAAAATCGATCCGAGCGCACGACATTGGAGCGATGATCCCAGTCCGCAAACTCTTTGGCTTGACCAATCGCTAGTCGCTCGCGGCCTCGTGTGCCCTGGGATGAGCAAAGTATGCTAGATGTCTGCGACTACGCGCATGAGAACAGGCGGAAGTGGCGAACTCTGTGTGTTTTCATACGAGCACGCCCATATACTCTGCTCTGCCTCCTTCTCGCTCTAGCTGCGGCCATTGTACCAGGAAGCGGTCGACCACGAGCTCAAGCAATCGCCCTGACAAGCTCAGCTTTTTGACTCTCGCCCAGCTTTCGACATAGATGGTCCTCATCTTGCCTCTCCAGTTGCAGCCCCATACTTCGAAGAACCTCAAGGCCAAGCTCGCGAAGACCAGAATAGTTCCTGTGGCCGGACCATTCACCAAAATAAGATCTGGAAAGTCCAGCTGCCCCATTCCACCGGTGTACTGGGACAGAACCGCTGCACATGCGAAGAAACATCGAAGGCATGAGAAAGGTGTCGTTAATGGACTTTGATGAATTTGCCGTGCTCTCGGAACAAATTGGATATCGTATGTGCCTCGACCGCCCTCTTCCCATCTCGCTTTATAACCTGCCTTCTCTTCGTGCAATCTTTCCAGCTTCTCTTCAAAGTCCCTGGCCCGCTCCGCAGAAAGAGAGTCCCCCTCGCCAACGACCCACGTTCTATGTCTGAAATTGTTGAGATCGAGTCTTGAAGTGGGATCTTCCTCGTGCATGCTCCGCTCCAGCATCGCTATCATCTCAGCCGTATGTCCTCCTGAGCCAAGTACGACGAGGAGATGCGTCGGCTGATGCGCATCGCGGCGAGATTGGCGACTGGGTTTTGGGCGAGCTGGATTGAGAATTGTGAGAAGGCGAGAGATGAGGAAGGCAGAGGAGGCGAAGAGCAGCAGAATCCAGAAAAGAAGTGGCTTGGCCATCATGCGCGACGCGCTGTTACCAAAGGAGCATACTGTGTACGATGTGAATATGCATCGAGACAGCATGTGAAAGTGAGGTACCAGGTGGCACCCCTGTCAGCGGCCGGCGACCGGACAAACTGGTCGGTCTTGGCATAGAACTACTCAGAAAAGGACAGGAGCCAGATGCATCACATATCGCAACGAATCTGACCTGTCAATCTGGCTGCATGCTGCAATCCATCATGTCGAATACCAGGAATCACAAACACTGTTCCCGATAACAGGCGACAGATTCGCCCAGAAGCTTACGCAGTTATTCTAACTCGAAACACTCGCGGAAAGAGCCTCCAGAGAAAGAGGAATGGAGGGCCAGACTACTGCATTGTCGATATTCAATCGATCTTGTCCACGGGCTCAAACAATTAGTTTCAATGCAGCGACGCAACTTGCCGTCCTGCCTCTAATCCAGGGACGGTCTCAGCGAGAATGCTTTGGCTCGGCAAACACTGCATTCTGCAGGCACCGGCTTGTCATCGAACCATGAGTAACGAGTGCAAAGACAGATCCTGCTCAGGAGTATCCTTTCTGGAATGCTCTCTGGAAGGGATGCTGGGTCCTCCAGGCGTTGCACCGGATTTGCTTCTGGAGCGCAGCAGTTCTCCCAGCCGTACGCAATGGTGGAAAGCGGTTTTCAGCTCGGCAGAATTTTCGTCAGATCCCATCAACCGCAGTCTCGACCCATTTCCTTTCTCGTCTCTTGCCGATGAACGCGTCGAGGTCTGGAAAAGTCCGAAAGAACCCCTGCGTGAGCGTTGGCAATACGAGGAAGACTGCTGCCACAGATGCATCTACTGTCTAGTCTGCTCAACAGTGGACACATCTTGAGCCGGCGTCGTGGGACTCAGTGGGAGAAGTCGATCCATCGGATCTGGCGTGGGATATCTTCGGGATGTGTTATCTCATGAATGGGCTTGGGTAGTTGCTGACGGAATTCAAGAGGTAACCCGCAACGACGTCCATGGCGGATCTGATTCCGATATTTGCTTTTCTGGTCATGTTCATGCTCGAGCATGGGGTAACCTTTTACCAGTCAGCATTTCCTGACGCATGGCATGAGGCTCTTCATCTTGATAGATCCGATTCCAAACGATCGGATCGGGTACGCGCATCAAGACTGCGGACCGGCATTAGCGTCCTTTAAGCATGAATGTTCCGACAAAAGGCCTGACACCAATGCATGCACCTGGATGAAAACATCATGAAGATGCAGCTCTAGTAAAGAACCATAACTTCGAAACGTGCCGTGTGACGCTAACCGCCTGGTCGGAGATTCGTCCGCACACAGTCCTTTTGCCCGGAGTGGCGGCCACCCAGCATGCTGACGTTTCAAATGTCACAGATGTCATCTATGTATGATGAACCTGTGAAGACCGAAAGCAGCAGATGCATTTCGACTTTGCGGCACATTGAATGAAACCAGCTAGACAAGCGGGGAAATGGCTGGCCTGCGAATCATCTTCACACTAGTCAGCCTTGACTGTGAACTTTACCCGTGCCTCTCACGGAAAATATATTGCACTGCAGCTTTGCGCAGCCGTGATGAACGCAAGCAATATATTTCTTCAGCAGCTGATTCTGCTCCGATCCGACGCAGAGCGTGATTTGCCGAGGGCACAAAATCCCACTGTTTCCGAATCGAGGTAAAACTGCCGACAGAGCTGCATTCCCCTCCCGTCTGTCGAAGCAATCGTGCAGCAGTGTTGGCAGGCTTGCAGGTAAATAGTACAAGCCTCCTTCAGCCACATTCACGTCAAAGCATCAGCCTTAAATTAACTTAACAAGCTCTGTCGGGACCGAGCCGTGCCAAGAACGTGAAGACACAACCACGCAGCCACTTCAGTACAAGTAGGTATGTACTATATCAAAGCGGTACCCTAAAAAGTGGACTCCAACAAATGGAACGGATGATCGTCCACTAGATCAACAGCCACTACTTCTTAGTCGACCAACGCCAGCACGGCCCAGGGACCGCTTTGCGCTCGCTCGCTTCATCATCACAAAAGTGGCACAGTGGCGCGTAGAATTGTTTAGCTTTTGATGTGGCGAGTAACTGCACAGCTTGTGGAGTTCCAGAATGGAAGTCTTACACATGCCAATTGTAGCATAGTGCCGTCTGATCGGCACAGATGTCTGTTCCTGACCCAGAAATGGATTAGGAGGCATCGCGGAGCAAGGAAGATCGTCAAAAGACTACGTTGACTTTCATGCATGTCATCAAATGGCGAATGCTACTCGCAGTTACTGGAAAGGGAGTCGTGTGCTTGCTCGACTTGTGCTGGTTTGTCATTGCCATTGAAACTTGCTGGAACCGATGTGGTATATAGATTGCGGGGGACTGTAGTGACTGTATCGCCCATGGACGACTTGGTAGGATGCAGGCAGTTCGAGAGGGCAGGGCAGTACACTACTGCTGGTTTGGCGGTCTTGTTGTTGCGTTGCCGTGTTGCACTCTGCTGATTCTGTAGGCTGGAGTAGTTGCATGCTCTTGCAATATCGATGTGGCTGTCGCCAATGCTGCCAATGCTTTTCTTCCGATCCTACTGGCGGGATCGTACTTTTGTACACGATCCGAGGATCTGACGAGCGGCGTTGTGTCGGACAGTTACAAGCGTGCTCTCCACCTCAAGTTGCGGACATTTGTCCCAATATGATGTCGATTGCTCTCAATGCGTCGGACTGAAGGTGAGAATGACTCGGGTGAAGCATGTTGGATGTTGAAGTCTTTTTTTATTCATTGATGGATTGAAGCCTGTCTGTTTCCTGCAGACCATTGAATACAGCCCCCAGACATTGAACAGAGCCAAAACTCCAACAGCCGTTGCCAATCCCGATCGAGTTCTGGACGCCTCAAGATCGAGTATAAGTACAAATTTATTCTTTTTCAACAGTGAACACTCTGCAAATGAAGATAACTTCCTGTGGTATCAAGTGCGACTCTTTATCATTTTCAAGTCAAATTTAGTCCCATAAATAATCCTCTGTGCGAGGTGAAAGGCGCTGTACAGATCGTAGATATTCGTAGTATAACTGCTGAAGTGTTAGTAAACTGAAGACTTGTTGTAGACGTGTCCAAGGTACTCACCATTCATACCCTGCAAGGCGCGTTGTTCTTACAAGTCTGGCAAGTGCCAGTCTCCAAATCGACGGTTCCAGAACACTGATAGCATCGTGTGAGACGCTTCTCGATTTGTTGTAACGTGGTGCTCATAAGGTCCACTCGTTGAGTCAAAGCTTCTATCGATCGACTGCAAGATTCGACCAAGCTGACAAGTCTTTCGACTGAGTTGTCTTTCCTACAATCGGGGGTCAGAATGATGACGATGGCTGGGCGAGAGTGACTGTGAACTTACTTTGTAGGCTGAACTTCTCGGTATTTGCATTCAAGTTTCTGCTCTTTGCATGATTGGCAGGGTGACTCGCCATCGCACTTTTGTTTGCGCTTTCGGCATTCCTCGCATGCCTGCTTTGGTCAGCGAGAAGTCAGTGCGAGGGCGCCCGTTGAACTTACAGTTGCCGTACGCTTGGCCTTTTGTCTCGGTTGTACATGGCTAGGAGTGATTGGCACAGCGGGAAATTTTGTCGTTGTCGGGCCATACACCTGTGGTGGTGGTGGAGTCGCTGGGCCTAGTGATGCATTGCACGATGATGATGCGCTGCTAGAGCCTCCAAAGGAATCGCCCGGTGCGTGAATATAGCCTTCGGACATGGAACGGTTGGGGTTGCCATTGAAGTTGTACATGTGATTCGCTTGCAGGTAGCCTTCCTCTACGTACCCGACATCCGGAGATGATGATGGAAACGGGTTGCTGAAGAGGGTATGTTGGGGGCCAGGTGGTGGTGGAGGTGTGTAATAACCTCCACGCGACATCTCGTGGTATGCCACCGGTACTCCATCGAAGGCAAGATTGGCATCAACGTGGTCAATCATTTGTGTGTAGTTGCGCTTGACTCCAGCGAATTGTTGTTCCATCATGGCAATGGAAGGCATGAAGATCGATCGAGATCGAAGAGCTGATAGGACCAGTTTGCTGTGCTCGATGATAGACTCCAACTGTGAGCAGGTTGCCGAAACAAACCGGAAGTGTCGTGGTCGTGGGAAATTTGAGGTGAAACAGTCGAGATGTCCAAGGGGAAGACAACGATGGAACGGCTTGAGTATCTATATGGAGTGCTCGAGGACAGTACCCGCTCTGCTGGAAAGGATACCCGGCCTCGCTGCAATGTCCCCAGATGTCTGCATCCAGAAATGGGCGAGCGACCAGATGCGATGTACGGATTCAGATGTGGCGGTTTAGCACCCTGCACCGGAACGCCTACAGCATCATGCACGAGCCTTTGGTGATCTCCAGAGACTAGACAGGATGCTGGGACAATGTATGCACAAGACCCATCTGCAGTTGCATCTGCCAATGGGTTGACGTGCCAGGACGGTGCAGGAGGCGCGGAGCGCAGGTGCATCTTCGGCTTGCCTGGGCTTAAGCAGGTAGAAGCATGCATCTGGGGACCACGGTCGCGTCGAGCCGTCGGCAAAATGAAAATAACAGGATCCCAATAGCAGGTATCGATGTGGGAGGCTCGCTTCTGCACAGGGATCTGGCTCGTCATTCAGTACCACCGCCCAGGGCAGTTCTGTACCTGCATTGCGCAACCACCCGCCTGGTTCATACCGCGGGATGGGACCACTCTCGCGATAGGCGAGGAGAGGACGACCAGCCCAGGTGCACTGCTTGACGATGGACGAGGTTGTTGCGATCGACATCGGTATCCGACGGTGGTCCAAGCCTGGGACGAACCCACACGCCTCCGTCATTCAGGTCACGATACTGTATTGCCGTCAGGCTTCATCGCAGAAACAGGTTTGTCAATTTCTGGCGCCTGCTTCTTGTCTGCGTCCAGAAAGGACGACGTGCAGCAGACTAGGCTGCATTGTGTCCAACAAGCAACGACTTGGCCGTCGGAGCACTGTATGTGTTTGCAAGACTCGTCGCCGTCGGCGGGCCTCTCTGACAAGCGTGGAGCGATCCAAGCGAGACGCCTCTGCAGGAAGAAGCGCCAAAATCGCATCTCTTGAGCTAATCTCACAAGCTGCGGCGGGCTGTGGAAGAAGGTGGGGCTGCAGGATGGCGTATTTGTCAATGTGAGCCACTCAGCTTTATTTCTGCAGCGCAGCTGGCGGGCCGGCGACGACAGCAACCAATGCGCAGTCACTATTCTCAGCGGACAGAGGCCGTCTCAGCTTTGGTGACGGGACCAAAGAATGTCGTGCAGTAGCCGCAAGCCACGACCTGTTGCTTAGCGGCGATGTGGAGTTCCGCCGACCTCCACGCGAGGCACTATGGCTCTGGCCGCAACCCTGTGGCCTTACAACCACGTCGTGTGCTGTGACAATCATGAGAGGCCTCCGCACGCTCCTGGTTGATTTCTTCTGCCGCACAATCGTATGCGAGCTCACTGGGCCGATCTTGGCCGCCGTGGCACACATGATGCAGCTGCAGTCGACACGTTCAGGTCGTTGTCACTCACTGCCAGATTGACTGCATTGCATTGTTGCAGAATGCATGATAGAACACACGCCTCTCGTGCGGCCGCCCACGTGAAGAGCATCTCCCACGATAGGTCGTGGCAACTTAGCCACGTCTATTCGCCCAGAAGCAGTGACTGTGGACGACGTTTACCCTACCAGCCGTGTGGACAACTGCTCGTCCACCAATTTAAGCGACAAAAGAGGGTCGGAGGATTTCCTGCTTCGGGCAATTGCGTCGAGAGCACATCGCTTTCGCAGTGCTGCTCCAGAGTCGCCTAGCCGAGGGCCGGGAAACTACGCCACTTTATCGATCGTGGACTGTACGCACTCATCAGAAGCCTTTGGGAATTGTTCCAAACTCCCGGTCCGATCTGCCACCCCCAAGATAAATAGAGTGCAGAAGCCTTGCAGTACGCCCGCGTATTGGCAACAACCAAGCACGCACGGCACAGTTGCATGACGCCACTATGGATCCGACAGTCCCCCGAAGTGTGCCATGCCGCCACACTATAGTGCGCTGCGGTTGGGGCGCGACCCTCGAACGCCTTCTTTAGTGGCAGCTGCCGTGAGGCGGGTTTTGCGAGCGTCACTGGAGCGATCGCTGATTCTAAGCCGTCTCCAATCGTGCTGACCCGAGCGAGGTCGCGAATTCCAATCATTGGCGGTATGGACTGGCTGCTTTGCGTCGTGCCCAGAACAAAACTGACCGACCACTCCAATCGACCCTCCAGACACCCAGTCGTGAACAGAGGGTGGGAAATGCTGGTCACCGACAATTTTCAATCGCACCAGCTGGAGCAATTAGACCAGTGTCATCTCGTTGGATATGCATGCTGACTGCATACCATTGGGGCACGTCGCCGAGCTTTTGAGACTCGTATCATTATTTGCAATGTGGCATAGGGGTATTCAACGATCTTCTCGGAAGTTCCGATGCGCAAGGCACTTTCAGATCCTCTCTACACAAGGCACTCCGAACACTTGAGGGCAGTGACGACGTATTGCATCTGCATGCTTGCCGGCATAGAGTAGGAATCTTGCAGCACTCAGCACTATCGCGATAACAGGCACAGAAATAGTGACGCTTCATGGTCTCGTTGACGAAGCCAGCCAGCCAAAGTGGCGGAAAGGGTCCCAGGGACCAAGTTGACTCCAGATAGCGGGCTGGTCTTGCTGTCGTACCCCTGTCTGACGCCTCCGCCTGCACAGCCGGAACGCGATCCGTCCCAGTGGGTGAAATTGTCCGAGTACCAGTCTTCTGTTCAATTCACCCCAAGGCACTAAGATTACTCTCCTTGCGAGCATTGACCGCAGCGAGGCCTGGCTTGTTCAACGATATCGACCCTGTGATGCAGTACTGCCCAGTGTGAACGATGGCATGGCCGGTGAGGATCTTATCACTGAAGCAACCAGAAGCACAGCAGGATACGCCGTGCTCTCCATGTACGCTCAGAGAGATGAAGTTCTGTACGTTTGATACAGTACAGCCATCAAGCAGCGGTCCGTCTCATGACAGGTTGGGCGCACCAGCTTAGTTGCCACTGACGGAGTTGCTCGTGCTGGACTGAGTATCGTCTGGCCGCCGAATTATGCTGTGTAACCAGCAGAACGTGGAATGGCGGTCACGATGCAATAATAACATCAGCCACCGCGTGGTCTAGATGGCGATGATCTCAACGTTGTCGCTTGAAGCCGTTCGACTTGGATTTGGATGTGGAGGAGGTAGTCGCCCAGCGGTGTGAATTGGGCCAGAATGCATTGCGCGGGGTGGAGGAGCGCGTTCATGCTTCGTCGTTGAGTCCCCGATTGTGAGTCATGTGTTCATCGCAGTCGTATACCAATGTCTGTTCGATCTAGGCGGTCCTGAAGGCATCGCATCTTGTATTCAATGTTTGGTGTTTCAGCACGCAGCTGTACGAGGCGAGGCGAGGAATCTTACTCGATTGCCTCAGGCTGCCACTGCCATAAATGGATGAGTGTGTCAGAAATCGTGGCAGCACTTTCCGCCTCGATCTCATGCCATCGCCACTTTCTCTTCTCTTCTCCTCCCATTGTCTTTAGCACACCAGTGTTCATTGCACTTCCAATAGCCATCGACACTGTCAAAGGCTTGACTCTGTCACAGCCGTCCTGGCACGCGACAATGGCGTCCTCTGCGGCCTATGCATGCCAAGTTTGCACGAAACGCAAGGTCAGGTGCAGCAAGACGATGCCGACCTGCTCCAATTGTCTCAAGAGCGGCATCGACTGTGTATATACAGAACCGCCGCCGCGCCGCCGAAAGCGACGCTTGAGCGGTGATATCTCTGCAAAGCTGGCTGAGTATGAGCGTATACTGAAGCACAATGGCTTATTCCCGCTAGCGGAGACGAGAGACTCGACTCCTCTAGACACTCAAAACAAGCCAGTCGCTTTGCGCTCGACTCAAGGCGCGACGTCACAAGCAGGGAGGCTGGTGACGAGCACAGGGAGCACTCGATATGTGAACAGTAATCTGTGGGACAATATTGACGATGATGAGATGCAACAAGCGTCTGAGGAAGACGACCAAGAAGCAGTAATGAGCGGCATGGAAGACAGTGTTGCTGCCGAAGATCCGTTTTCACTTGCACTCATGGCTGACCACCGTACTCTGCTGCGATATCACCCCGACCATAGCCAGGCCGTTGCCACGTGGCGCACGTATCTCGAGAATGTGGAGCCGCTCTGCAAAGTGTTGCATACACCGACTGTTGGGAAGCTCATCGAGAGGGGTGCGCTCGACCCCTCAACAGTGACCAAAACCGAGGAGTGCTTGCTGTTTGCGATCTACCACTTTGCGGTATTGTCCATGACAGAGGCTGATTGTCTCAAGCAATGCCAACAGCCGCGTGCGGTATTACTGAAGAGGTATCACTTCTGCGCACGACAAGCTCTTGTGAATGCCAAATTCCTGAAGACCACAGACATGAATATCATGCAGGCATATGTTCTCTTTCTTCTCTCCTGCAGAACTCACTATGATCCGTCGACATACTGGATCCTCACAGGGGTGGCGGCGCGCATATCTCAACGTATGGGGCTCCATAGGGATGGCGAAGCGGCTGGCTTGCCGCCATTCGAAGTCCAGATGAGACGTAGGCTATTCTACCAAGTGGTGCCTCTGGACGGCATGTCAAGTCGGGAATCGGGCGTGAGCGACGCATCAACACCAGATCATTTCGATACGCTGCCGCCTCTCAACGTCAATGACGATCAGATCTGGCCCGGAATGACAACAAAACCAGTGTCCCAAAAAGGCGCCACAGAAATGGTATTCTGCCTCTCACGTTCCTATATTGGAAGGGCTTTCGCTGCCAGCAAGCAACTGAAAGATGATGATGAGGCGCAGAAAATGATCTCTCGTACTGAGGACGAAGTGGAAGATCTGTATCTGCGCTATTGCGAGTTCGCTAATCCTCTTCACCTGCTCACCAACTTGGCAACTAGGTCGGCGTTGAATGCCATGCGATTACGAGTGCGACTACCACGACTAAATGAAAGACCAGACACCGATGATAGCCGGAGGGAGAGACTGCGACTATCGTGCAAGATCCTCGACACTGACGCGGCAGCTCATACTCACTCAACGTTGCGAAAGTACATGTGGTACATTGGACCTCTATTCGCTTGGGTAAGGCGTTTCATTTTACGTGTCTGATTTATGACTGACGAGCGAAATTCGTAGGGCACCTGGGACGCCTTGATATCGATTGTGACTGCTCTCCAGAGACCCGACTCGCTCTCTCGCACCGAGACTGATGACATGTGGGAGAAGGTCGAACAGCTCTATTCTAACCACATGGATCTAATGATCAAGTCTAAAAGCGCTTTACAAGTTGCCATTGGGCGCCTGGCCCTCAAAGCATGGGACGCGAATCCTCCATCGAAGCAAACACCGCAGCCCGAATTCATCGTTGCATTGCGCGCATCACGAAGATTTCAGTATCTGGCCAAACGCGCCATGGCTGGACCAGTCGAAGGGGCGACGTTTGACGAGGTTTCATTGAAGCAACAGCCTTCTGTGCTGTTCGATGCCAACGCAACAAAGCCCGGCGACTCTCCAGATCTCGACTTTGATTTTGACTACGGAAATCTCCTTGACGATAGTGCACCGGACTGGGTGTTCTGGGATAACCTGATCAAAGATTTCCAGTCACAAGGAGCACAGAACTAGCATCAGATCTTCATTCAGTGCACGTCGCAGGATCACACTCGACCAGTACAGCCTTCTCGATGGCGAGCGGCGGCTGTGTGTAATATCGTTCATCTATGCCGGATGATAATGTCGAAGTTCGCCTCGGCGTTAAGAGAGCATACCGGCCCGGATCCAGCCCTAAGTCTATTGGACTGATCCCTGCCATCTCATTCCCGCTATAAGCCGACTCCGCTGTCGAACCGAGGACCCGGTTCTGCCTTCTGGTCTAGTCTACAGATCGTTTCCAGGAGGCGTGCTGTAGGCTAGCTTTCAATTTTGACGCACCGCCTCTTTTACGACAACGACTTTCGCAAGATACACACAGCGTGTGTGATGTGCTTCATCAGATATCTGTAAACCGAGGAGCAATAGAGTTATTGGTCTAAGTCGCATGCTCGCAGACGTACTATCGAAAAACAGCAACTGCAAAAGAGCACACTGTTCTTAGCCGCATGGTGCCATCTTCGGGACCACGAATACCGATATGACACAACAGGCTTGACATGTGGCCATGCCCCATGGGTTCACTTAATACACAAGGACTTAGCGACATTTGGCTAGGGCTGATCTATTCAGGCAAAGACTAGACCATAGGGCCATAGCCTTTCGATATGCCCCGTGGACATCAAAAGCGGTCACGACACCCTTTGAGGATCCTTTCCGACTTCACCTGCATTCTCCACCACATACCAACTTCAGTCACTCCTTCGGCACGCCAATTGCTCACTATGGCACCACGCTCGCTTCTCCTTGCGGCTCTGTCCGCCTCGACCTCCTTCCTCGCGCAAGCCGCCCCAGCCGCACGCAGACAGGAAGATAACCTTGCTCGTGACCTCGCCACTTTGAAGGCTTTCGCGGAAACCATTACCGAAGACCCGCAAAACATCAAGGCCAACTGGACTGCAGCCGGAGACGATGTCTGCCAGTGGGCTGGTGTGACTTGCGCTGAGCGTCCAGATGGAGTCCTTGCTGTTGCTGGTATTGGTAGGTAGTTGCTCTAAAGATCTGGCAGTGCCAGCAGAAGCCACAGTGGATGTTAACAAAATCGCACGTGCAGACTTCAACAACTACGAATTCGGCCCGGCCCTGCGAGCAGACCTCATCCTCGACAAGCTCTTGGATATCACATTCTTCCACGGTAAGGGTCATTCTACAGGACCAGCTTTCAGTCACAGATGAGCGATGCTGATAACACAAAAGCGAACTCCAACTCCTTCACTGGAACACTTCCAGATGTCTCGGCTCTGAAGTACCTGTACGAGGTCGATTTCTCCAACAACCGCCTGTCTGGAATGTTCCCGTTGGAGATTCTCAATGCTCCGCTGACATTCTTGGATCTGAGATTCAACGTATGTTGCAGTTCTCCTCCAAGCTCGCAGCACAAAAGGCGCTGCGAAAGAGACAAAAACTTATCGCGATATCGAGCTGACTTGACATTCAGAACTTCATCCGCGAGCTGCCAGAGAAGCTTTTCCAGATGACTGACCTCACAGTTATTTTCCTGAACGTGAGTTTGCCTACTGCTGTGCAAGATTCCCGAGCCGGCGCGGACTGCTAACATAACCAACAGAACAATGCCTTCTCCGGCCCAATCCCAGACATTGGCCCAACCTTCAACACCTCGTACATTACTCTCGCCGTAAGTCGTCGCATCGTCTCTACTTCAGCTAGCCTCTCAAGCTAACATGTCCCACTTCAACAGAACAACAACCTCACCGGACCCATCCCAGACTCCTGGGCCAACAACCAAGCTCTTACTGAGCTCCTCATCGCGAACAACACCGAGATTACCGGCGTCATCCCTGACAAGCTTTGCGCGCTGCCAAACGTCACGCTTATTGATGTCAGCGGAAACAGCGGCATGACCGGTCGTCTTGGACCCAAGTGCAGACAGTATGCGAAGGAGGCGGACAGAGATGCCAAGAACCCACCAAAGGACAACTCGACCATTGCGAGAATCTTCAACATTGAGGGTACTGGATTGACGCTTTAGATGTAGGTCCCCGGGTAAGGTGATTGCTCAGGATGCTGAGACCAATTCAAAATAAACGAAAAAGAGGAACACAAAGAGGACCAGCACCGGAAGGCCGTGCCCTTCGAATATACATCGACCACAAGAATTCCATTTGCGACCTCAGTCGACTCTATTGTGCGTCTATCTTTCTATCATGTCACGTGTAATGCCGTGGCATCTACATTTCTCAGCGCTCATATCATGCCATATCATGTCATGCCTTTACCACACCCAGCTCACCCAATGCTTTCATCGGCCCATACTTCTGCCAGGCCTCATACTGCTCCTCACTCCACGTATACACCAAACCAATCATTCCAGCCGCATTTCCCGCAATCACAGTATCCTTCCCCTCTACGTTTACCCAAGCCTTCGTCCTTGGGATGACAACTAAATGCGTTCTCGTCAGGAGCACATTATGAGGTGGTACTTTTCCGTCTTCAATCCGCAAGTTCAGCGACTCTCTCAGCTTGACATAGAGCTCGTCAAGACTCTTTCCATCTATCCTTCTGTCGTCTCTGTCAAGTCTCAGAGCACCATGCTCAAACGGCGCACCCGCCACCTTCTCAATCTCCCCTTCCCCATCACTTCTCAATAGCGAGAAGAAATTCTTCCTCCCATGCTTCGCTCCCAAAGGCTGTGGTATACACTGCAAATGCTTATGCCCCACAGAACTCCCCGATTCAACACCACAATTGAATATCACCATATACTTCTCATCATCACCATCGCCACCGTTTGCTCGTAACCTCGTCAAAACTTCCCATCCAGCATCGAAATCACCAGCATTCAATGCATCGCTTTGCGGCTGGTATTCGTTCGTCGGTAAAACAAATTGCGGACGAACAACGCAGAATTTGTTCAATATGAGTTTGTGATCTTTGCCAATTGGTCCTAGAGTCCAATCGCCTTCGCTAGCTGGAAAAGCGTTTTTGGTGGGAGTCTTTTGTTTCGTATCGATGGGTTTCTTTTGGAGACTTGTTGCGATGCGGAATTCGAACTGTTGATCATCAGTACCACAGCAGTGTTTTGTGGGGGCTCGATGTCATGAATGGGAAGCTATTTTGTCCAAAGGATGAACGAAGACATCCACTTACGTCAAAAGGCTCACTGGTAATGTGTCGAGGTTGGGTTTCGTTCCAGAGGAGTTCGCCTTTGGCAAGTAAGCGGTCGAATTGTTGGAGTGCTTGACTTTCGAGGTCGGTGGAGCCCATATTTGTTGTCTTGCACGAATTGGGAAAGAAGAAGTGGATGACGATTGTTGTTGGGATATTGCAAGGAAAGTCGCGGAGCTCGTCCCGAGGCTCTTGCCGCGACGCGAGGCGGGATGGCTGGCTCAACTGACGCGTCGAGATCACAGCAGGTTGTTACATGTACTTCATCAACTTCATCTCGTACACGGAATTCCCATCGCAGCTGCGACTCTGCGTGGTGATCTGAGCATGCGAGCGGGGACTAACGTCCGTGTATTCCTCAGGACACTGTCGGAAGAGAGCCGCACAAGATACTGGCTTCGCAGGAACAAGACCCGGATGCATGGAGTGTAACTGATCAACAAAATGTGTCCGGAAAGAGGTCATAGTAGCTGTGCGTAGCGCTAATGGCATCACTCAGGACAGCTATGCCGAACGCGACGATCACGGTGATGTATGAATGTCTGTGTCACATCCCAGAAATTCTAGGCATCCTCACTCGTCTCTGGCTCATCTCATCATCTCCTTGCCCGGTCCGGGATTGCAGCAGCACCGTCAGAGCCACGCTTGTCATAGCGTCCACTAGGCACGCAAAAACTAGTTGTCTGCGGGACAAAGCTGTCATATATTCTCGAGCCACGTCTAGCAAGAGAAGTGAGCAGTCTTCGGTGGAGCTAGGGCGGGCTCACAGGCAGGCTCTCATGAACAGCATGAGACGAAGCCAGATGCGTAGCAGCCGTGGTCGACAGTCCACATGGCAAGTACCGCGGAATAGGGAAGAGCGAGCCAAAGTGAAGCGAACGAGCAAGTCAACCTGTTGCATCCAGTCCATCGTTGCACAAAGACTGCACGACTTCTGCGTTATTGAAAATTCCATCAGCGGCAACGACCATGGCAAGAACCAAAATATTCCTGACCCATCTCTGTTGAGCCAGTATCATTACGTCGTATATCGTGGAAACACCTCGCTGCCTAGTGCTGGGCCACCTGATCACAGCTTGTGCTGTTCGCCCTCAGTGCCCGTCACAGTGGTCAGCACCCGGTTGCCAATCGCCTATCACGAAACTTCCCAAGAATGTTCCACCGAGTATCGCCAGAAAGTAGCCGACATTCATTGTCATGACAGCCAACATCCTGCGAATAGACAGATTAGACATGGTCAACACTTCACAGTTGTAGGAGTACTCACAGAAGATAGCTCACGCCGGCCAGCACAGTATCGAGCAACGCCCGCGCCAACGCCTCATTGATGTTCCAGGGCCTCCTACTCGCGAACCCATAGAGCAACAATTTTCCATCATCGCCGCCAGCTTCCGAACGCAGGATGTCCGTGTCTCGTCGATGCGCCCACAAGGCGAGCAGAGCGGGGAAATTGGATCGGAGAGCCACAATACCGCGGAAGATGGCAGCGAGTGCGATGAGGAAGATGCAGGTTCCGACATATTGTCCTGAGGTCGAGGGTTGCCAGGTGTTGGAATACAGAGCGGTGGTGGTGCTGGTGAAGAAGGTCATGAGCATGTGGTCCATGCCCATCATTGTCATCCCGGAGTCGGTGCTGTTGCCGTCCATGGAGCCATGCATGCTGTGGTCCATGGTGGGCGGTGTTGAGGTGGTCGGTTGCAAGAATGTCTTTGTTCAGTCGCAGGTCGGGACCACTTTCTCGGACGTGTCGTGGTGTTGGACTCTTGCGTACTTGTTGATTACTTCACAGCTCTTTTCGACCACCTGCGAGGTCTCTGGTTGCTTTCTGGCCGCCCCAAAATTTGCGTTCCGCGTATTGTAATGTGGCCTCGTCGGAGTCCGGCGATCCTGGCCACTTGAACAACGAGTGCAGTCAAGAACTTGCTCAAACTGGGGCCAGAACAAAGGAATGTTGAGCTGCACTCAAACGTGCTCTCTCTTGCTCATCACGAGACAAAAACACCCACGGAATGTCATCTCTTCCCACGCGCTGCTGATTGCAGAAGGTGCTTTGGGCCGCGTGGCAAGAAGCGCATGGCAAAGCCCGCAAACTTGCTCAGACCAAGCACACCAGAATCCTTGCCAATGTCGCTCAATTGCCCAAAACAGCACAAACCACCAGCAACTCCCACTGCGACTGGACACGAACGAGGGCGAATCCGCAACTTTACGCTTGTGAATTGCATCCCACGCGGCGGCCGAGAGCCGACAAAGCGTTCGTTAGTGGTCTCGACAAGAACATCGGCGCATCGCCAATATGAGCACTTTTCCCGTGCCACTTGAGTGCATTTGAGACGTGAGCACGTTGGAGCGCATTGATGAGACTGCTTTGCTTTGCGTCTGACGGGCCCGACACAGAGGGGCTGTGATTCTGCTGACCTTTCCATCGCAACTTCATCCACCGATACACCGGAGTGTCGGACGACGGATGCACACAATACCACGTGTCTGGCAACACAAGATCTGAGCTGGACGCAGCACCAACCTCACCATGGCGCACTCGCACAGCCATAGCATGTCTATGGAGCCATGGCTCACCCAACCTGTCATGCTGCACTCCTCGCGAGCCTACGAGTGCTCGTTGAACCTCACCGAGCAATGCGAGTATCAAGTCGGTTACTGGAGATTCTGGTATGAGCTGGACCACCGCTACGCTTTACCGACAGTGGCACTCTTCCTGTCAACAATCATCCTCTTCTCGATTCCGTTCCTCTTCGCCAACCTCCTACCCCGAGCGCGATCACGATCGGGAGCAGGAGGCAAGCTACTCGCTCTCAGTCGATATGCAAGCTACAAGTCGTTCCGCATCGGCAAGCTAAACTGGAACTCGGCGCCCATAGGTGTGCTCTTTCTGGGCGCAGTAGGCACGATATTCTTCTTCGCCATGACGCTGGGTCCAAGACCATACTACTGGCCGAACGAGAAGGACCCCGAGACAGGAAAGGTTACGCTGTCGTTCGGCAACTCGCCCCCCATCGCTTCACGAACCGGCTGGATGTCGCTTGCTTGTCTGCCTTTCATTATCGCGACCTCGAGCAAGAGCAACATGATCACAGGGCTGACAGGCGTGTCGCATGAGAAACTTCAAGTCTTCCATCGATGGATCAGTTACGCCTGCTTCGTGCTTGCTCTGATTCACACATTCCCGTTCATCGTTTTTCGGGCTTGGAGAGGAGACTTGAGCACACAAGCGAGGACCACAATATACTACTGGACTGGTATCATCGCGTTGATTTCACAGGTTCGTATCAAGCGTCCACGAAATGACTGTGCTCTAAGCTAATCTCTGCATACAGGCCTGGCTGACATTCGCCTCCTTTTCACCACTTCGCAACTACTCGTACGAGTTCTTCAAGTTCTCCCACTTCGCCGCCGCACTCATCTTCGTCGTATTCTTCTTCCTCCACTGCAACTTCCGACTCTCCTCATGGGACTACTTCATCGCCACAGCCGTTATCTTCACTCTTACATTCCTCCACTCACAATTACGCATCTACTTCCAGCATGGAATCAAACAAGCGACAATCGTTCTTGAGTCGAACGGGTTCGTGAAGATCACTATCCCAACACAAACGACATGGCGCGCCGGACAGCATTACTTTGTGCGATTCCTCGGTATGGGCCCCGGAGTGGCTGCAACAAGTCACCCCTTCAGTGCAGGCTCTTTGCCAACCAAGGCGCATTTCTACGAAGCCGCACAGAGCGAACTCGTCTTCTACATTAGAGCTCAAGGAGGCCTTACTGCTCGCTTGGCCAAGCATGCCGAGAAGTCGCCCAATGCGAAGATGTCGGTCATGCTAGACGGTCCTTACGGAGGTATCGACATGCCCAAACTTGCATCTTGCAGAAAGTCTTTGGCTTTTGCTGGTGGGTCCGGAGCGGGGTGGCTGCTACCTCTCGTCGAAGCCTTCTTGAGAAGAAGGGATTGCGTCTCTGCGGGATGTGAACCAGAGAATGGAAAGATGGGAGAGATCTGCGGCACTGAAGGTCCGGAGATGAGAGTTGTACTAGCAACACGAGACATTGCGACAAGGAATTGGTTTGAAGAGAAGATTGAGGAGTTGTTAAACAAAAGCCTGCTCGGATGCTGTCCGACAGGGCTGAGGGTGGAGATTTACTACACAGGCGAGGAGGAAGACAGACTCCAAAGCGGCCAGAAGAGCACAGCACACGCGAGTGGGATACAGCGACTAGATGGGCAAGACCCAGAGAAGGGAACCGATGCGGAGATCTCCTTCCAGCAACACCAGACTTCATCTACATCGAACTCGTCGGATTCAGAAAGCGAGAAGGGCAAGACTGGCAGTCTTCTTTCTCCATTCGACTTCTCTTCCCGGCCGAATCTTCCCAAGGTCATCGCCGAGGAGGCGGAGAAAGATGCTTCGAGTATGGGCGTCTTCTGCTGCGGACCGCTAAGTATGCAAAGCGATGTGGCGAATGCTGTCGCAAGGGAACAGTTGAAGATATTGTCGGGCGGGAAGAAGGCACAGAAATCGAGAGGTGGAGATGTGTATTTGCATATGGAGCATTTCTCGTGGGCCTGAAATATTCAGACAGAAAAGAGACAGTAGATATTTGACAGAACCAAGAACTCGATCCAAATATATCTTGCACAAACTTGAAAGTTCTCGAGCTACTCCAAGTGTTTTGATAGCTTTACTGCAACCGATTCCTGGGCAGCAGTGCCTAGTCATTGACTCTGAGACCACACACTCAACGCTTGTTGTCGAAAGTATCCAGAGCTTCCGCGTGCCGATACTCTAAATCATCGAGAGCCGATTCATGCTCATCGACCAAAGCATTGAGGCCGGCCGTGTGCTTGCCGTCCAAAGTCTTGAGCGCCACCTCATGCTTGTCGGCCAGAGTTTTGAGCTCCATCTTATGCTTGTCGGCCAAAGCACAAGCCCCACCTCATGAGTGTCTTCCAAAACAGCGATAGCCCCTTCCTGCTGGCGTTTCAGCTTCGCCTTCTGCGCCGCAAAGTTCGCAACCATCTCTGCGCGTTGTCGACGTCGCTCCTCCATCCTCTTGGCCTCCCTGTCTGCCAGGAGCTTCCCGATAAACTTGGGTCGACTGGCTTGCTTACGGTCCCACCACTCTGTCTGAGTTTGAACGTCGACATATTTCGGGTTGGCTGGCTGCATGGGCAGATCCTGTTGAGGCTTGCTCGTAACCTTAAGTCTCGGGTCGTTCGATGGTAACTTGTAGAGACTAGGATCTGGTCGTGCTACTAGAGCATCCCTCTGTGCCTGCCATTGCGCATTCTGAAGGTGAAGCTCCTCAATCATCAACTCCACTTCAGCGAGTTGCTGTCTTTGAGCCTCTACAAGTTTAAGTTTTGCTTGAAGGGTGTTCTCTAGTTCGGCGCGCCTTGACTTGGCTTGTTCCAGGGTGATCAGTTTCACGCCATTGACAACCAGGTCAGCCAGCTTCTCTTTCTTTGGAAGCGGAAGTTCCTCATTGTCAGCATCCACATGGCTCCTCTTCCTTGGCTCCGTTAAGTTATCGGGGTTGCGGCGGGGAGCCATTGTTGCGCCTGCCGCCAAAAGCTGTGGTCGTGTACTTGACGATGTTCCGACTTGAGTAAATTCGCGAAACCAGAACCGCAGTCGAGCACAGTAGTGTCAGAGCTGGAGCTGAATGTGAAGCTGGTAGTATCTTGGAAGTGGTCGCCTGCTCAGTTGTGGTTCTTTGCCGTCTCTCTGCTTGTGAGCCACGTCTCGTACTTCGGCAGCCGCCTTGTCGTGATTACAAGATGTCGCCGAAGCGGGTCTGTGATTTTGAGTCGTGTCGTAAAGGAGTCGGATTCGTGTTGCTGGGGCAGGTTGTGATCGCGAGATTTGTTTGGGCTTCTTTTTCACTTCACTCAAATTTACACTCACAACTCCCTCACTTGCTCAGAGATACCAGTTCGACTGCGCATTTGAGAACAACGGCTCTCTCTTGCAAAAGCCGATCATAGTGTTGTGAGTGAACGCAGTGGCCTACGACGGCGAATTGGAGCCTTCAAACGATTCAAAAAGGGTAGACCTACTGCATTCCACGCGTGTGGGCATCAAACATTCATTGGTTTGAAAGGTTTGGCGTAGTGCTAAGATGGGGGATTGTGACTGGCAAACTGCTCGGATGATCGCATTTGCAACATTCACCTAGGTATGAAGATGCAGCTCGACGGGATCCTTTGGACCCAAGTACACAGAGATCACCCAGAGTTGGACAATGGCGTGTCCTTGGGCTTATGAACTACCAACATGAGTATCTCGGTCATGTTCTTGGATTGTCTACTTCGAGCATCGCACTCGTGCTTGCCAAGTTCTTCCTCTCATGATTGCGAAGTCGCTTGCAGATTCAGACGGTCATTTCTGACATTCGTGATGAGTCGTGGCTTCGAGACTGCATTGTGGAAGCATTCTGAGGTTGACATGTGGATGCAAGAAGCGCAAAGAACAAAACAGGAGGAGGACGGGAGAAATCAAACGGGACGTATTCTGATCGCGGGTAGATCCGCCCTGCCCCTGCAGCTGGCCAATGCATGGAGGGGCAAGTTTTGGGAGTCGCGATGACTGTGATCGCCGAGACCAGCTCGAAACACGTCGTCGGCCACTTCTTTGACTTGACAATACCACTGCCCATACCAAACTCGCTCACCGAAACAACCTCACTCACAAGTTCTCACTGCGACCTCACCCTCCCGCCACCTCCACTCTCTCCGCCTACACCCCACTTCCACGAGAAGCACCCGCCGAGCACGCGACATGAGCACGACAGCAGATGGCAGCAAAAAGGTGATTTTGCCAGAAGATGGAAAGCGTAATGTCTTGATCACATCGGCTCTGCCATATGTCAACAACGTCCCACACTTGGGCAACATCATCGGCTCGGTGTTGTCAGCAGACGTCTTCTCGCGCTACAGCAAAGCTCGTGGAGTACCTACACTGTATGTCTGCGGGACGGACGAGTATGGCACAGCGACAGAAACCAAAGCCATAGAAGAAGGCGTCACACCTCAACAACTCTGCGACAAATACAACAAACTGCACAAAGAAGTCTACGACTGGTTTGAGATCGAGTTCGACCACTTTGGCCGAACACCCACCCAGCAGCAGACCGACATCGCGCAAGACATCTTCCTCAAGCTGCACAAGAATGGCTACTTGGAAGAGCAGACCACAAAGCAGCCATACTGCACACAGCACAACTCTTTCCTCGCAGATCGATTTGTCGAAGGAGAGTGCCCATTGTGTGGCTACAACGATGCGCGAGGAGATCAATGCGACAAATGTGGGCATTTGCTTGATCCTCTGGACTTGAAGAATCCACGCTGCAAGCTTGATGGCGCAACACCGGAAGTGCGCGAGACGAAGCACATGTACCTTCAGCTGGACAAGTTGCAGGACAAGACAGCAGAGTGGAACGCAAAGAGCCAGGTGGAGGGATTGTGGAGCGATAACGGTATCAACATCACAAACGCCTGGATCAGAGAAGGGCTGAAGCCTCGAGGTATCACGAGAGATCTCAAGTGGGGAACGCCCATCCCATTGCCTGGATACGACGACAAGGTTATGTACGTGTGGTTCGACGCCTGTATCGGATATGTCTCCATCACAGCAAACTACACAGAGCACTGGGAGAAGTGGTGGCGGAATCCGGAAAACGTTCAGCTGTACCAGTTCATGGGCAAGGACAACGTGCCGTTCCACACCGTCGTCTTTCCATCATCACAGCTGGGAACAGGCGACAAGTGGACCATGCTGAATACTTTGTCAACAACCGAGTACCTCAACTACGAACGCGGAAAGTTTAGCAAGTCGAGAAATATCGGTGTCTTCGGCAACAGCGCGAAAGAGACTGGCGTGTCTCCTGACGTCTGGCGATACTTCCTCCTCCTTCGACGACCCGAGACCTCCGACACCGAATTCGAATGGGATGCTTTCATTGCCGCCAATAACAACGAGCTCGTCGCCAACTTTGGCAACTTCGTCAACCGCGTTCTCAAGTTCGTTAACTCAGCGAACTACGACAGCGTCATCCCAGCTTGGCCCAAGGACAGCCTACCCGAAGATGTGTCAACCGGTCTGAAGAAGCACATCGCCGATACAAATGCGAAGGTGAAACAGTACATTGCCGACATGGACGCCGTGCATCTCAAAGCTGGTCTGATCACTGCTCGTGAGATCTCATCTCTGGGCAATCTCCTTCTCCAGTCGAACCGACTCGACAACAACCTCTTCACGAACGAGCGCGCGCGATGTGATGCCGTCGTCAACATTGCAGTGCAACACATTCATCTCCTCGCTTCTATCATCGCACCCTACATGCCAGGCACAACAAAGAGCATCCTTTCGCAACTGCAAGCGGATTTGCTCATCATCCCTGATGACTGGCAAGCGGAGAGCATTCCTGCTGGTCACAAGATCGGCAAGGCAGCACACTTGTTCAAGAACATCAAGCCTGAGCAGGAACAAGTCTGGAAGGAGATGTTTGGCGGTGATGAGCTGAAGAAGGCAAAGGAAGAGGAAGCGAAGAAGAAGGCGGCGAGGAAAGCTGACAAGGATAAGAAGAAGGCCAAGAAGGCCGCTGAGAGAGCGGCGGCGCAGGTGGATGGTGCGGGTGAGGGAGTAGAGGCTTCGGCGAAGGATGGCGCGGAGAAGCCTTCCGCGGATGACGCGGTGAAGGAGGTGACAGAAGGTGTGAAGCAGGCCACGTTGCAGACATCCTAGTGGGCGGTGTTGAAATACGGCCTTTTGTGTTTTGCATCCAAGAAGTGGAATACGGGGGCGTTCCGTCGTGTTGGGATTAGCGATGATGGTGGCTATAGGCGTACTCACTTCTGCAGGCGGGATGATACAGAATCCAATGGATTATGCTACAGTAGCAAGCGGCAGATGGCCGGTGCGACAGCATCGTGCCCTCAAGTGACAGCACCGATCTCAGACTCCTCGACTTTGCCCTTCTCTCTTCCGGTCTGCTTGGTTTGGTCATCGCGCCTCCTTGGCTCCTTCACGTACAACAACGACAAACTCCTGCGTGTCCCTTTCCTGCCACGGTAAACATCGATCTTGTTACCATACGCCGTGCGGCAATGTAGCATTGCCTCAGACGATCGCCAGCAAACTTCGCCACACTCATTTCTGCTCTCTCAAACAATGGACGTCAAACTTCCACCCAACTAGTCGTATACACGGCGTTCCACATTGTCATGGTGCGTCACACACCTGTCCGACATCCTGTCCAGCGCCTCCCACAACCTCTCACACTCCCACCGCGCCTCCTCTCCACCCTTGTCGTGCTCATGAAAGGTACATGGCTGCCACCTGCAGAGCTCTACCCCGTCATCCTGCTCATGCCCTTGAAGTACGCAGTCGTGATTCGGGGAACAAGCTCTGCAGTCTCGGAACACGATCATGGCGGTCATGCATTCGGCTAGAAATTCTGGTGGGCAGGCGGTAAGAAACTTGATCATGGCTTCGCGGCGACCTGTGAAGCTTTTGGCTCTTATACATGTGCTGAACCAGCCCCCGAGGAGTCTCCGCAGTGGACATTCGGACCGAAGGTTCTCGACTGCGTATTGAATGCTCTCGGGGCGCCCAGGGAAGTGTTTCAGCTCTACCAGCTTGTACTGGATTATGTTCATGACCTGGTTGCGAAGAGCCACAGTGTCGTATCGATCAGCAAAGACGTAAATTTCGAAGAGAGAGAGCGGTATGACCATGTGATTGGATCTCTTGGGTCTCGGACTGGGGGATCTTGCGGAGCAGTTGTGTAGCTCGCAGCAGCATTTAAGCTCTCACAGCCTTGAGTTTCCGTGTCTGGGATCTCTGTGATATCTTCGCCTTTGCTTCGCTTCGTTGCGGGCTCGTCCTCAGGGGCTTCTATGGGCTCATCAGTCGATGAAGATTTAACAATGTGGGAAGCGGATGTCTGACCTGTGGCAGGACGCTTAGTGCCAGGGGCTGCGATGTATCCGTAATCAGAGGCAATCGCCGGAATGCCACCCATCTCATCTGCATACACGAGGCCCGTGTGTAGCCAGGTAATGAAGAGTTTCATCATAGCGTGAGTGACGTCTGCGTCTTCAGCAAGGTCGAGCACTCGCGTCTGCGTCTCCTTCATCTCGTTCAAGAACGCTGCTTCGAAGTATTCGGATTTGGCACAGATGAGAGCTCGTGGAACTCTGAAATCCTTCTTATAGCCCTCATTCAAAACATTGATGGTGACCTCTGGCGACTCGAGGCGGTTGGGTACGACGATCGCTGGTGCTCGGAAGTGCAGAGACATGTTGACTGCGTCCTTCCGTGACGGCGGCGTTGTGGCCTTGGGCGACGATGGCAGTGGCGAGGACATCTTTACGAATATTCCGCTGCTGATCTTCGAAGGCCAGGGAAAGGAAGCAGGTACAAGACAGGACAGCAAATGTGTGGCTCGAGGAGTCAGTGAACAGACCGCGTGCCTTCACTAGTCGTACCGGCGGAAGTGAATGAGGCGTGCCAAGTTCGATCCATGTGGCACGGGATGGCTCGAGAGGTCTCTTAGTGGGAATATCGACTTGTCTCGGAGTACGTCAATTGTGTAGCTAGGTGGCTTGTGGACCGACATTCATGATAGATTTGAGTTTTAGCGTTGCGAAACACTGGGGCAATAGATTCAATTGCTTCAATGGGTACCGGCAAGGAGACATCGTCCAGATTGGAGTTCGTGAGATCGTCATCATTCCATAGGGCCGTGCCAGTGACGACGGGGATTTTGCAAGCCGGTCATGATGACTTCGCGGATCATGGAAGGACGGTAGGAAGTGAACTGTACATATGACAGTGTACATGTCGACGAGTCCATGGCAGACCAAGAGAGTAGCTTCGCGAAAGCGGTAGACGTTGCAGCTTCCTTGTCAGAATTTCTTGCAGCTTCTGGATACATCTGAGGCTCTCGTTTGTTGATAGGCCTGAGCATTCAGACTCTTTTGACTGCAGCAGGTGATCTCGAATGCCAGTAGTCTCCGATTTTGGGCGTCCCTGAGATGAGGCCGAGGGGCTCTCGTAGTAACAGCTAGCGTGACACGACGCGTATATGCATTCAATTCATCGTTTCAGATCGTCCAAGCGCGATGATGCATTGTCAGCTGATAATGTGGTGTTGAGACAGAGGGGAAAGGCGCAGGGGAGAACACAACTGATCTTGAAACTCGGAAACATCGAAGGACAACACTTTACTTCATACTGCGAGAGGTGTTAGGTTTGTTGAAAGGATCACAGAGATCTCTCTAGAACCTTCCTCAGTTGTTGCCTGGTCTAGGCACACAAGCATATTCAGGTGAAAACCCCACATTTTTCAGCGCGCCAACAAACTTTGCTAAGTGAACGGCGACGCGTTGGCATCGAGTCTTCGCCTGCACGCCCGCAATAAATTCCGACGCAGAGTCCACTTGCTCTTCTTTCTTTCAACATCCCACACATATCGACTACGACTGAGAGGCATCCTCGAGCAACATCGCTTCCGATAACGACCTTTGTTGCCCTTCCAGCCGCAAAGCTTCTGCTGCTTTGTGCGTGATGCCTTCCGCCGTACTCAACGCCTCCTGGGCCAACATTGCCGCCAACAATGCGCGTCGCATTGAGGCGTTCAAGCCCAGACTCGACATGCCGTACACCAACGGCGCATTCCACAGACAAATCGATGAACAGAAAGCTAAGGGAGACACTGAGAGAACACAAAAATGGCCAACTCACTATCTCAGTGCCGAAGAGGCCATTTACCTGGACGTGGAGGAGTCCGAACTTCAAAAGAGAAAACATTCCATGCACATGGACCGAGATCCTGGTGCTTTCATCCGTTGGTACATCTACACCATGGGGTCGATTGAGCTTTGGCACACTTGGCCATCGGTCTCGCCATTCTTCAGCAAGCTCAATCTCCCCAAGTACAAGCAACAATTCGTTGAGATTGAAGCCAAAGCAAGAAGAGGCGCGATCAAATTCATCTTCAGCTTTCTCTTGCGTACCATCGCGCGGACTGGCGGCATGGATGAGTGGAGCTCTTCTCGATTTGAAGATTGTTACCGCGTTTTCTCGGCAAGTTTCGACGAGAACCCCTACTATTTTGCTTGTGGAATGCACGAAGAGGAACGGAAGAGTGTGGACTTTGCAAGCATGTACGGTCTTCGACCGGAGGACAAGAAGGATGAGCTCGCGCCGTACCGCAAGCTCAACAAGATCAAGTTCGTCCGTCTTGCTGAGGCCGCATTCGTGCATTGTTTCAAGCATTGCGACGGCCTACTGCTTTGGGCGGTGCACGAAGCATGGAAGAGTGTCGCGACAGATTCTGCTATCGTTGAACTGGGGCTGGCAGCTGAGCCAGAGAAGATTCCTGCTACGCTGTTCGGCCAACCTCGCCCGCACAAGCGCCAGCGAACGACGTACTACCAGGGCTCTCGGCCACTCAGAGAGATCGAACTGGGAGGAGTTTGAAGGCAGCGCCCCCATCATGGCTGTCGCGAATTGGACCGAGCAGTTCCCAAGCGCCGCAGGTAGCCTAGATCAAGATGGCAATGAAATCAAAGCCATGAGGACTGTGAATCGGTCGATTCATGAGACGCCGATAGGTTGTCCTTCAGTCAAGGCCTTGCATCATTGCCTAAATACACAGTTGAGCATGAGGCTCGCCTGTTTGTACTGCTCCGGCTCGCTTTCTCTTTCACTGTCGGTAACTTCTTTCCGTACACCATGGAACAGAGATATAGCTTTGAGCAAATGCCATTAGGAGAGAGCGATCCGAGGCGCAAGCGTTTCAGTGAACACGAACGTAGAATGCAAATGACATCTTCGAGCAAAATGACTTGCGGAGTAACGAGTGAAATAGGTTAGTTTGGATATATTGTATCAAGAAACGAACGTCTTTGACCCTGTCCAGCTCCTTGTCTTCCTTTGGAGGCAATGACAGAACTTCGGCGTTGCTCACAACCGGCTGCAGTTGTTCTCTTAATTCGCTGACTGATTTCCTGTTGATCCCGTGTGAGCCTCTCAATCACGGCAACAGGACATTTGAGCGACATCTTTCGACGCAAGGCAATCGTTTCTGAGAAGATGAGTGTTCGGCTTCTCACAAGTCGTCTTGTCGAGTGTCAGGAGGCGATGTGCTCGGTTGCGAGCTTACCTCTGGTAGTATTGCTTATAGACCTGGCTGGCACCAATTTGCGCATTCGCTCCTCTGCTACTGTTTTGGGCGGCGTCGCTGAAACTCTTGGGTCCAAGGTGAGAACGTGGTCTCTCAAAGCCGGATGCCTCTGGAATGTTCGGGGCGTTTTACTGGTTGAGTGGGCTCTGATTGTTGTTTGGGCGATTGTCGACTGGTGACTGGAAGCGTTGTGGCCCTGAAGGTTTGCTGAGTCCTGTATATAAATTGCCACTGCTACTGCTATCAAGCAGCAACATCGACGTGTGCAGCACTTTCGAAGATGGCACCAAAGAACGACACTGCATCGATGCCGAGTACAAAACCAGACCAGGTGGACACAGGAGTCAGCAATGTCGACGACCTTCAGCCCGTAGACAGCGAGCTCATCGGGGAAGAAAAGATGCTCCGCGAGCAAACAAAGAAGCTCATCGAGGAAGGGGAGAAGCTTGCCGCGAAGAGAGATCTGCTCAGAGAGGCCATGGCCCGACTCTGGGCTTCGCGCATGCGCCTTCCGGAGGATCGTGCTCCAACCGAAGAAGAGACCGCAGCCAGTGACAGTAAGTTACTGCCGGCGCCGTGACTGATATGCGACTCGACTTGCTAATCCGTGCATAGTTCTGTTCGATTCGGTTGAGACCCTGTTCAAGGAAGCTGGAGAGGAAGAGCATTTCAATCACCTTCGTGAGCTCGCTGGCCATTTCGAAAATATGACGGCTGAGGAGCTGGCCGAATGTAACAAGCAGGTGGAGAAGCTTGGTCAGTTGGACGACGACGCGAAGTATGGACATCAAATTCACGTGCCAGCCGCAGAGCCCTGAGCTAACATATCGCAGGATTGAGGCTCTTCGGGACCTTCTAAAGACACCTGCACAGAACAAGGACGAGCGTATGGTTTGAGCGGAATTGGGACTGAAACGGCCGGAATCTTCGAGGACATGGGAGATATTTCGCTGGTGCTTTGTGCTCTACACAGTATTGGCCCCATATCTTGTGATTTCAGTGTTAGAAAGAAGGAGGCAGATGGCAAGTGCGGTAATAAAACACCTCGAGCTTTGAGCTGAGGTCACTGTAGAGTAGCTTTGCCAAGTATCTGACTCAGCATGTACCAGGACACGCTGTCTTCCACTTCCAACGTACAGTCTTTTCCACGAGAACCTCCCATCTGGTCTCATCAATCACACGCCATCTTTTTCCGAGCCGGCCGTGCATGTGACTGAGTTCCATGTTGGCTTCAGTGTGGCTCGTAGACGTGCGATCACTGCACATTGCATAGCAACACGACTGCGAGCATGTTCGGGCGCGTTCACAACACGTGGAGGAGGCATGAGGGACACCTTGTATGAGACGGGGTCCCAACCGAGGAATGGCAGAAATGGTGATCGGGTTGCAAGAGCAAGGCAAAGGCAAGGGCTGCGTGTACGGGGCTTTGACCCGCCGATAGGGTCTGCAAGAGACATGGATGCTTTGAACAAAGGCACTGAGAAGTGCTTGAGATACAGGCGTAATAGAAGAAACTCTACTCCGTCATACCGCGGGATGTCAAGCTCAAAGATAGTCGGTCCTAGCGACTGGCAATGGACAGCCGATTCGATTATCGCATGGTGCCCATCAGATTCGAATCATGTGCGTGCATGACCTGCCACCATCTTGTAGCACCCCACCCACCGGAGATCTTCTGTTGTACTCATTCGGCCCCACTACCGTAACCCGCCAGAGACTTCAAGCTCCTGCATCAGATGTCCCGCCCAGCCGCCACTATGCAAAGAAGAGACCTGGCTCCTTGTACGAGGCAGATATTCAGCTCTTCACGCAAAGAAGAGGTCCACCACCCAATGCAAAGAAGAGGTCCAACTTCAAATGCAAGAAAGAGGTCCAACTCTCAATGCAAAGAAGGAACTGAGCCTCCAAGCCATGCAAAGCGGAGGCCCAACACCAGGGTCACGACAAGGCAAACCACTTGCGCTCGCTGCGACCTTGATAAATACCGTTCTCATCGTCAGCTGCTAGACACCAATCGGGAAAGGGGGCGTCGAGTCCCGCCACTTGTCTTCTCTTTCCCATTCCATCCTCTCGGTGGCAGCTGGCCAAGTGCTCGTTGTCCATGCTGTGTGCTGTGGCCTACCTCCACAGCTCGCTTCTTGAGCCGCCCGCGAAGCGTACGTATTATTATGGTGCGGCAACAACGCCTGTAGAGGTGGGTGTACACCAAGGACACCACTATCGGCAGCTGTTACATCTCGCAATTGCGTTCCGATGCTCTTGTGATGCTTGTTGATCAGACCACGTTATCCGTTCAGCGAATACCATGGGAGTGGGTTCTGCTGAGGTGCGGCGAGCCTCGCTTGACGCGGTTCCAGTCTAGCGAGCGGCGATCGTGCGATGAGGGCAAGCTGTAATGCGAGCGAAACATCGCTTCAGATGTGAAGCTGTGTGTCCACAATCATGTGAAAGATGGCGCACTTCAAAGCTCCTTGGGAAGATGGCGAAGGATTGAAGGATTGTGAAAGACCGTGAAGTCCCGTCGCGAACCATCATGTCCATACATCGCCAGCAAGTGGGGGGAAACAGTCCGATGGCGCAGGAATGCTTCCACGCTGGGCGAGCGATTCGAGCTCGCTTCGTCTTCGTCGTCGTCGTACGGCGACCGAGTGGGAGCCGCGATTGGAGCTGCTGGAGTGATGCATCGACTGTGAAGATCGTCAGCGGCAGAATGCGCGCAACCACTGCAGCGCTTATCCATCACCCCATCTGAAGCGCATTGAGGTCGAGAGTCTCGATTCTACTCTGACGGCCAATGGCTCTTCGAGGGGAAGAGGATGTGTGGTTGGCATCGCGCAACATGATGACTGTCCGACCCGGCCACTGCGCGTGGGCTCTTCTGTTCTGTCCTCGCTCGGTGAGTCCGAAAGAGGGTTGAAGACTCCCAGTGCAGCTCCGGCGGCCTGATTATCCCGCGCGGTCGGAAGATGCGCCAGCCGCGAGTCAGCGTCATTTCAGAATCATGTGAGTGCCGCGGTGATGCTCACAAGTCCGTGATGTAGGCGGCCGGCGCGGTCCACCAGAAGCGCCACACTGATGGAATGATGTTGCCCGTTCGCTCACCTGCTTCGCGTGGTTGAACCGCGATGTTGCGCTGCGGCTGTCTGATGATGCGCAGCCGGGATTCGGATAATTGGTCATGCGTGCGAAGTTGAAGGACGTGTGTTCGCCCCCCAGGACCAATACAAACCTCTTTCCCACTTCGTGTCACAGTGAACACAATCAGAACTCATGAGGACGCCGCAGTGGTCCATCGATCTAGCCATAAGGGCGATTTACGCGTTCGCGTTGTTTCGCAGCTGATTGGGCTTGCCGAGGGCACTCCAGAAAGGATTGACAACCATGAAGGCCCTCCGTTGCCCGCTTTGTATTCCGTTGTAGAGATTTCGCACTGGCCCGGCACTACTCAGGATCTTGCCACTGCGCTTGAGGATCTCCGTAGCTAGCGCGGTCGTGTGTGCCATCGTCGCCTGACAAGAGCAGCAAGGATGTGGCTGGGCTGGGACTGAATCATATGCCGCTGGCTGTTTCGGCTTCAATTGAGAGCACTGTGGACATTGCACAGATTCGAAGAACTTCGTCTCCGCCATATGACGGGGGAGCGGCCGCCAGTGTCCCTTCGAGCTTCCTCGAAGATGCGCGGCTCCTGGTCTTGGGCTCTGCGGGCACATTGCTCTGTGACATCGCTGTCTCGGACGGTATTGTTGTCCGCTGCTTGTTTCTCTCCCCCCACAGACCGGTCGCCCATGTACCAGATCTTGTTGCATCCCTTCTCAGCCCCGAGTGCAACGGTCTGGTCCATTTGTTGATCTGACCACGCTCATGGACCTACCCATGGGTGCATGATCAACGGCTTGCTCGTTACGGCAAGAGGCCTCGTCGCGACAGCTCCGCTGTCCGGCTGGTTCGGCCGCGTTCTAAGTCTCGCAAATGTGCAAAATTCATCCCTGTACCCACCACAGCCCTGCAACTCCTGCAACTCGATCTGCTGCATCTGCTGGACATATACGCGATCATCGCACTTTTTAAGACCCTGTTAGCTGGCTGGTTGTGGTACTCTGTGCCTCATGAACGAGAACCGGCCAACACTGAAGCCGCGCCTGCCCGCAAACCTCAAGCTCGTCTGGCTGCGCAAAAGGCTGTCAGTGGAATTCAGGTTACGCAACCTTCCACGGAAGCTGTCATGGCCATTTTCAGCGGCCTCAAGGTCGCATGATCTCTCTGCACTGTGTTGTCGTTGTGCCGTTGGTGCTGAGGACAAATCGCGCCCGAGTTCACCGCCGCAGTAGGGGGCAAAGCTTTCTACCTCGCGTAACCTGTCACAGCAGCATCACTGCATTTAGGACTGCCAAACTCCATACGGAGCCTCTGACGGTTCTCTTCACGGAGCTCCAAATTACTCGAAGTTGATGCGGCGTCTCGTTGTGTTGTCGCAGCCGTGCCGGGCAAGAGCTGCTGCTTCCAGCTGCACCCTCCTCCGCCGCCAAAGATCACAAAGCTTCGCAAAAATGCAAAATTCATTTGCATTCGCAACATCGTCGCTCGACACGCAAAAGTGATTTGTTCGAGATGCTGTGATCATGCTCTTTCCAACGACATCAAAAATGTGTATGTCCAGGGACATGCTGGCCATGCAAAAGCAAAAGAGAAGAGCTCGGTTGCCTCAATTGCTTGAGCAACCAGTAGCTTTGAACGCATTGCGTTCGTAATGATGCATGCCCAAATCGCCCACCTTGCCAACACCATTCCAGATCCCCCATTTTCCGCCGCCGCCGTGTTTCGAACACAAGAGTCAAGGGAATGAGGCACTCACCTGATAGTTGTTTTTTTGGCGATGATGTGGTGCTTTGGCGAATGGGTGCGCTCCCATGATGATGACTAAGGGAGATTTCGAAACGCTTATAGCCCTTGGTTCTGTCGGAGCGGGGAGACAGTGGTGGCGGGGCTGGCCGAGTGAACGGAGGCTGGCTGGCTGACTGGCGTCGACGCTCTCGGGGCCACAACACCACCAACACTACGGTTGAACACGAGCGCACACGCGGAGGTCGCTGAGACGGTCATTTAGATGGATGCACCGTGGTGTTTGATCGTGCAATACGCGGTGTTCTGGCATAGGACCAGTTCCGAGCAAATGCAGACCAGGAAATGGAGTTTGGCCGTGGCTGGCATGCCACTCCTCCCACCATGACAACGCCGTTGGCGCTTCTGCTAAATCGCTCAGACACATTGGACAATCATTTGATCGTGTAGACGATGGCAGTGTAGACAACGTGGTGGNGAGCGGCGATGCAGTACAGGCGGCGCAGGTCTGGTATCGCGTTTCTGCGGCCACAGCTTCGGCCATAGCAAAACCACAGTCGGCTCGATCGATGTCTGAGACCCTCTGCGAGCGCTCCCCAAGCTTCGTAGAATGAGAGAGCGGATTGTTTTAGGCTGGGGCACACGAGGTGGCGATTTGCGGCCATGGATGCGCGAATCAGCCGGTGCTCCTTGCGGAGCGAGCCTGGTAGCAAAAGACTTCCGCCTCCAGCATCGAAAATAACACGACTGTTCTCGCTTGCCGTGTGGTCTCATGCGTATCGAGAACGTACAAAACACCGCGCTGAAGCAGCCAGTCAGTTGTCTCAGCTCGCAATGCTCGGTATGGCGCTTTGCGCCCGCCATGGGGCATCATCCCTGGCGGCGAGTGAATCGCACGGCGGTACCAACCACCACACACAGCAACAACCCACGATAATCATCGCCGCGAGGACAGTCACACGCGGAGGGCCTACCGCTTGTCGAGCTCAAGCAACCGGCGACTTATCAAACGCCATGAGACCCATCGTGGCGATTTGCGACCGTCATGAGGAAAACCG